TTTCCTTTGTGATTAAGTGCTTTTCCCTAGTATGCTTTGATTCCTTTTTATGTATCTACTCTGTAGTAGTAATAGTTTTTGCTTTGTGGTTATCATGAGGCTTACAAAATGTCTTATAATTTTAACAGCTATTTTAAGCTGATAATAGTTTAACTTCGATCACATAAAAATACACTTCTGTTCTCCCCTCACATTTTATGTTTTTGTCTTAATTTACACATTTTATATTGTGCATTCCTTAACAAATTATTGTGGCTATTAGTAGTAATAGTAGTTTTGTCTTTCAGTCTTCATACTAAAGATATAAATGATTTACCTACCACTATTACAATATTAGAGTATTCTGAATTTGCGTACTTATATTTACCAGTGAGTTTTACATTTTTATGTTTTTGTGTTACTAATTAGCATCTTTTTCTTTCAACTTGAAGAATTTCAGCTTTTGTTTGTATGGCAAAGTTTTTAATCTTTCCTTCATTTCTGAAGGACAGCTTTGCTGGGTACAGCATGCTTGTTTGGTAGTTTATTTCTGTTGCAATTCCAAATGTATCATCCCACCTTTATCTGGCTTGTAAGTTGTTTGCAAAAGGAATCCACTCCTAGTTTTATTGGAATCGGCCTACTATGTTATTCGCTTCTTTTCTCTTGTTATTTTTAGAATCCTTTCTTTGTCCTTGATTTTTGACAGTTTGATTATGATGTGGCTTGGGGTAGTCTTATTTGGTTTGAATCACATTGGAGACCTTTGACTTTCCTGTATCTGAATACTTAACGTCTTTCTCCAAAGTTGAAAAGTATTCTAGGGCTGATATTGTGCTACAGTTGATTGGGCCACTTCCTGTAATGCCAGCATCCCATATCAGTGCCAGTTCCAGTCTCGGCTGCTCCACTTCCGATCCAGCTCCCTGCTAATGCGCCTTGGAAAGCAGCAGAAGATGGCCTGAGTATATGGGCCCCTGTCACTGATGTGGGAGACTCAGATGGAGTTCTGGGTTCTGGGCTTTGCCCTGGTTCAGTAGATGAAAAATCTCTCTCTCCCTTTCTCTCTGTAACCTTCAAATAAAGAAATAAATCTTAAAAAGAGAAGCATAGAAAAGTTATGTTATTTCTTTTTAAAAAAAATTTGAAAAGATTTGTTTGTTATTTAAGGCAGAGTTACAGAGAGAGAGAGAGAGAGAGAGAGAGAGAGAGAGAGAAAATCGTTCATCCACCTGCTGGTTCACTCCCCAAAAGGCTGGGGCTGTGCCAGGCTGAAGCCAGGACAGGAGCTTAATCTAGGTCTCCCACATGGGTGCAGGAGCCCAAGCACTTGGGCCATCTTCCACTGATTTCCCAGATGCATTAGCAGGGAGCTAGATTGGAGGTGAGCAGCTGGGTCTCGAACCTGTACCCATATGGGATGCTGGTGTTGCAAGCGGAGGCCCAACCTGCTGCACCACAAGGCTGGCCCCTGTTGTTGTGTCTTTAATGACCTTTTTATCTTTCTTTTCTCTTCACAAACTCCTGTAAATATTTGCTCTTTAGATACTGTCTCCTAAGTCACGTAAGCTTTCTTCATCACTTTGCATTCTTATTTTTTTCTCATCTTAATATTTTCAAATAAACTGTTTTCAAGTTCAGATTCTTTCTTCTGCCTGATCAAATTTGATGTTGATGTGTTTTTTTACTGCATTCATTGTATTTATTGGCTCCAGAATTTGTTTTTTTCTATACAATTTAAAGCTCTCTGTTAAATTTCTAATTTTGATCATTTATTGTTTTCTTGAGTTCACTGAATAATTTCTCTGTATTTTCTTGAAGTTCACTGAGCATCCTTAAAACAATTATTTTCATTTCTTTGTCATGCAGTTAGGATGTCTACATTTCTTTGAAGTCAGCTACTGGGATATTATTGTATCCTTTTGATGATATTGCCTGATTTTTCATGGGTCTTATTGACGTCCATTGATTTCTATGCATTTGAAGACATAGAGATTTATTTAAAGTCTTTGCAGACTGGATTTGCCTGGGAAAGCCCTTCACCAGTCAACCCATCCAGCGATCTGGCGCAGAGCATCTGACATGGTCTTCAGGCAGGCTTGCTGCTGGAATCCTTTGGAAGGTCGGATTAGTGCCTGGGTTAGCAAATGAATGAGCGTGGCACTGGGTCCTCAGAATTGGGCCTAGAGCTTGGCTCTACAAAGATAGTCCTAGAGCCTGTATTTGTGAGAGGTGGCCTGCAGCCTGGGCACACAGGGACCTGCTTTGTGCTGAGGATGGCCTTGAGCCCAAGTCTGCAGGAACTGGCGTGGCTTTAGGGCAGGCCTTGCACTTGAAATCACTGGGAAAAGCCTGGAGTATGGGTCTGAAGGAGTGATATTAACACTTCAGTGCAGGGGTCCATTGTGGCACTGAAGTATACTGACTGGGCCTGGACCCTAGGTTCTCTGGAGTTTGTGATAATGAGGACCAGCCTGGAGCCTGGGTCTGGCTTAGTGGTTGGGCCCACAAGGGGTTGATCTGGAGGCTAGGTAAGCAGTTGCTGGATTACAGGCTAAGGCGTGACAGCTAGCCTGGGTCCTGAGACCTTAGCATCAACCTGGGACTTGAGGACACAGGGATGCTCCTAAAGCCTAGGCCTGTGGGTGATGCTCCAGTGCTGGGGGCTGGTGGGACAGATCTATCTCTGATCAAATAGAACATGCGACTGCAAGGACTGGCCTGGAAGGCACAGTTACAGGGACTGACCTGGTGCTATGAGATCTGGCCTGACAGGCAGGCTTGGAGACTCAACCCGCAGTTACCAGCCTGCAGTCTAAATGCACAGGGGCTGACCTGGGGGCTAAGTACACATTAACCAGCCTGATAACTAGGGCTTCAGGGATTGGCCTGGTACTGAGGGAGGCCTGGTGCCTGAGGCTGCAGGTTTCAGCTTGTTGTCAGAACAGGACTGAAGGCTCAGTTTCCAAGCATCAGCCTAGAGCCAGGAGCTATAGGGACATTTTGAGTACTGAGTTCTAAAGGGGTGTGCTCAGTGTTGGTGTTTCAGATGAAGTGTGGTACTGACTTCCCTCTGCGTCCTCCACCCACAGGGTATCTTGCTCCATGCCAGGCAGCCTGGGAATGGAGGAGGGGTGGTGCAGGTAAGCTAAATCTGTCCTCTGTGTACTCTTCAGTGCATCTTCTCTTATGTCTGTGCTATGTCCAGGGCTGTATCTCTTATCTGGTTTCCTTAGTTTTTGTGAAGGTTGTTTTGACATGTTGTTCAATTGATGTTTCTGTGGAGGGAACAAGGACTGGAAAATCCTTTTCCACCATCTTCCTGACACCCCCTCTAATGGTTTATAATTAAAAATTCCTGCGTAGTGTTTACAAAATTATATCAATTGCAAAGAGAGTAAAATATTAAATTCCCCCCTTTTTTTCTAATCTCACTTTCCAAAGTCAACCGCTTTTAAATTTAGTTTATATCACTCCAGATTTTTCTATGTCTGTTTATATGTGCATATATTTAATTTTTATTAGCGTTTTGAATTGGATATATATGTGTTTCCTTTTTTTAAAGATTTATTTACTTATTTGAAAGGCAGATTTACAGAGAGGCAAAGAGAGAGAGAGAAAGAGAGAGGTCTTCCATCCACTGGTTCATTCCCCAAATGGCCGCAATGGCTGGAGCTGTGCCGATCCAAAACCAGCAGCCAGGAGCTTCTTCCGGGTCTCCCAGGTGGGTGCAGAGGCCCAAAGACTTGGGCCATCTTCTATTGCTTTCCCAGGCCATAGCAGAGAACTGGATTGGAAGTGGAGCAGTCAGAACTCAAACCGGCGCCCATATGGGATGCCGGCACCGTACGCAGCAGTTTTACTCCACAGCACCAGCCCTATACTTCTTCTATAACTTTGCATTCTTTTAATATATGACTGAAATCTCCCCATGAAAGTGTATGTAGTGTCAGTTTATTTATTTAAATAGCCAAATAGCAAACAAAATTTTGATGTGTTGTGACTCATGCCCTATAGAAACTTTGGCAGAATACATTTCAGCTGTTAACAATTTTAGATATAAGTGTGGTACTCAAGTGCAAGTGCGGAAATGTTTGGCACTTTTTATTTATTAAATTGAGAAACACTATAGCACAATTTTTTAGGTCTTAGTATATGAGCATTACTTTGAAGCTTTGAAGAGCTTGAGTCGAAGTATTGGGCCAAATGACTGTCCTAGTGTTTGTTCAATGACAGAGAATTATTGCCCATCATAAGTAAAGATAGTGACTTCTAGATAAAGATAGTTATTTTTAGATAATATGAGAGCAATAGCTCAAGTTAAATGACAGTCCTAAAACAATACACTTCTTAGGATTATCTTCTGTAAAACACACACACACAAATAAGGCTTACTTTTTAAATCCGAGTTTTTTGTTGTTGGTATCCCAAATCATTCCACGAATCTAATGAAGTTGCTGGTGCCCTCTATAACTATTCCTTCAGAATGGCATCGCCTAGACTGGTTGTACTAAATAAATAATTCTTACCACATCAGACATCAGAGCCATATTTAATATGTGCATATTAAGGTGAATACTCAGGGGCCATCACCTGCAGTGCCAGCATCCCATATGGGCGCCGGTTTGAATTCCAGCTGCTCCACTTCTGATCCAGCTCTCTGCTATGGCCTGGGAAGGTAATAGAGGATGGCCGAAGTCCTTGGGCCTCTGCACCAGCCTGGAAGACCCAGAAGAGGCTCCTGGCTCCTGGCTTCGGATTGGCCCACCTTTGGCTGTTGTGGCCATTTGGGGAGTGAACCAGTGGACAGAAGACCTCTCTCTCTCTCTTACTGCCTCTGCTTCTCTGTAACTCTGCTTTTCAAATAAATAAATAAATATATTTTTTAAAAAGGTGAATACTCAAACAAAAAGCTATTAATACGACTTCACAAGTGCTCAAATTTGAAGTGCTGTAGAGGAATGAAAACACTGCCTCTAAGTATTCATTAATGTGATATATCATGTTCACTTTATTTGTAGGTACTGCCTGGAATCAACAACTTTTTAGAGATAACCTTTGTCAACTATGTGGTGTTGTGCTACAGTTTGAATCACAACGGATTTCCCATTATAAGGTAAATTAATAGAAGAAATAATGAGAATAAGATCTAAAGCAAGTTTTTCATATGGCAGGTAAACTTAATCTTATGTACTAGATGGTGTCATTTCCCTTTGATGGATGAGGAGATTGGCTCAGAGTGTGACAGTACCAAGATAGCTGAAGTTTGGTGAATTTAGATTTACACTTGATATTTTTTACTCCAAAACTTTTCTTCTCTTCATACCATTCTGCTTCCTTTATATGCATCTGGCCACTATGCCATTCATTCTTGTAGTAAATGTAAGGTTGACATTATGAAGCTTGTATAGTAAACTGTTAATGTGAATCAAGACATATTGTAGAATTCCCAGATTCTTTCTTTATAGTAAAGGAAGACTAGAAATACAAAAAGAACCAGTCTTGCTCTTGGTTTAGCCACATGTTTTTAGGCACAGAGTTACAGAATTCTAGAGCTAGGAGAGAAAATATCTAATGTTGCTGCTCTCTTAGTTTATAGATTAAAAAATTGAGACCCAGAGGCAAGCATTTAGCATAGCAGTAAGGCCACTAGTTAGGATGTCAGTATCCCACATCAGAATACCTGGGTTCAATACGCAGGTCCAGTTCCTGCTTCCTGATAATGCAGAACCAGCAGCCAGCTGTGATGGCTCAAGTGATTTGTGCTCCTGAAACCCATGTGGAGGCCTGGATTGAGTTTCTGGCTCCTGGCTTGATTTAACGCAGTCCCAGCCATTGCAGACATTTGGGAAGGAAGAATATGGAATATCATATTCTCTTTTTCTCTCTGTCTCTCTGACTCGCTCTCTTTCTCTCTCTCTCTCTCCTCCCTTCTTCCCTCCCTCTTGAATACACAAATATTTTTTAAAACTACATTTAGACCCAGAGAGTGAGTGACTGCCAATAATTATTGGCAATCATGCAATAATTGGCATGACAAAGCTTAAAAATAATTTCAAGTCCATTGTTCTTTTCCTTTGGTAGCATTGCCTCACATTTCTATATCATCTGATGAGTGTTACCAGTCACGGAGGGGAGGGCAGTTGCCGGAGAGAGTCTCGTGGGTTCTTTTCCTCAGCTTAGTATAGACATGAAAAACAGGAAAACAATTTGCAAAGAGGCAGGAACTTTTATTAGAAAAGAAGCTTTTATTTGATTGGCAAGCTACAGAGAAAGCATCTGGTCCGAGAAGAGACCAGGGGGAGTGCCCAAGCAGGACACTGGCTTTGAGGAAGTGTCCTTAGTTTTTAAGGCATTACTGTCTGTACATTGAGTTATCCTACTGGGAGTGCCCATTGGATGGGGTGGGGGGAGTGGTTTCACATACGTATGTTGATTGGTCTGAGCCTCATGGAGATAGCAAGGGTCTCCTGGAGATGGCCTGTCTCCTTAGGGGCTCAGCCCCCTCCTCTCCTAGCTCAGGGTGAAAGACTGCAGCCACCCTGGAGGTGTGATTTAAAGCCATAAGGTTACACTAGATAGCCAGGGCCTCCTGGAGCTGGTCTGACTCTCCCCAAGTGCTCAGCCCCTTCCCTTGCCAGCAGTGGGTGAAAGATAGCAGCCACCCTGGAGGTGTGATTTAAAGGTGCAGGGTCACACATGCAGCACAGGAAGCTGTTAGTGGGGGAGATGCCAGTGGGTCTGGAGACAGGCTTTCCAGCCCAGCTGCTAGCCTGCTTGGGAAGGACATTCTACCTACATCTGAAGGGACCCACAGACCCCAAGCCCCACTGGCAGGCCTCAAATCTGTTGGATTTCTTTCTTATCTGCTATCTAGACTGCCCAAAGTACTAGGTACATTTACTTAAAACAATATAATGCCAGTTCTACTTTTCAAATACTTCACCTTATTTTTCCCATTGCTAATCTGATTTGTCACTACAATTTAGTTTCAATGTTGACTGGGATTAAATTGCCATAATTACAAATAGCTGTTGGCTATGAATTGAGAAGAACTGAGTTCAAGTCATGACTTCACCATAACCCTGTACAAATCAGTGTAACTTCTTGAACATGTTTCTTGAACCTGCAAGATGAGGGTGGTAAGTTTCTCTTAATAAACATGTGAAGATTGAGTAAAAATCAAATGTGTAAGAGTGCCTATCCATCCTCAGACCCTCCCCCATCAGAAAGCTATGGAATTAATCAAGAAAAATGAACAGTCAAGGGGCTCTGTGAAAACTGCAGTTGGAACCATTTAAATTTAAATCTGAAAAACATTTTATGGGATTATAAAGTACTGTTCAATGCAGAAAATATACAAAAGAACAATAAGTATCAATTATAATTCTATCACTTGCTATTAACTATCATTTACTTTCTCCTGTGTTTAGCTGATTGCAAAATGCTTTCTGTCCATGCATGCACACACACACACACACACACACACATTTTTCACCAAAAATAAAAAAAGAACTGTATTGTTGTTTTATGCTCATTTTTTCATATGAGATCATATTCTGGAATTCTGTCCTATCGTTACATCTTTTTCTGTAATATTTTAGTGATTGTAAACTATCATACTATGTAGATGTGTGATTTTTAAAAGATTTATTTATTTCTTTGAAAGGCAGAGAGAGAGAGAGAGAGAGAGAGAGGTCTTCCATTCACTGGTTCACTTCCAAATTACTGCAATGGCCAGGGCTGGGCCAGGCAGAAGCCAGGAGCAAGGAGCTTTATCTGGGTCTCCTACATGGGTGCAAGGGCCCAAGGACCTGGGCCATCTTCTGCTACTTTCCCAGGAGCGCTAGCAGGGAGCAGGATGGGAAATGGAGCAGCCAGGACTTGAACCTGTGCACATTTGGGAAGCCAGCACTGCAGGGGGAAGCTTAACCTTCTAAGCCACAACTTCCACTCCCACTTGTATCATTTCTCTTTTTTTAATGTTTATTTATTTGAAAGGCAGAGTTAAAGGGCGGGGGGAGATAGAAAGAGGTCTTCCATCCGCTGAGTCACTCTCCAAATGGCCACAACTGCTGGAGCTGGGCCAGTCTGAAGCCAGGAGCTAAGAGCTTCTTCTGGGTCTCCCACACAGGTGCAGGGGCCCAAGCATCAGGGCTATCTTCTACTGCTTTCCCAGGCCACAGCAGAGCGCTGGATCAGAAGAGAAGCAACCGGGATACAAACTAGTGCCCATATGGGATGCCGGCAATGCAGGCAGAGGCTTAGCCTACTAGGCCACAGTGCTTGCCCCTGTATCATTTCTGAATTTCACTTTCAGTGTAGTTTGCAGTTGGGTGATAAATGCGACAGAAGCAAGCTGTCCCCTAGAAACTCCCGGACCTGTCTCTCTTGTAGAGTGCTGGCTTGGTCAGCCTGCGGGGGCCCTCTAATCTCTCAGAGGGGCATTTGAAGTGCCTTACTCTGGAAATGCTGCTGTGTACACCACTTCTGCCGGCAGCCGCTGCTGCTGCTGCTGCTGCCTCCAGCAGTGGCCCTGTCTCCAGGAACACAAGCAGGGTTGAGGGGAGGGGAGGGCCTGTAGTCGCTGGCTCTGGGCTGAACGGACATGCATCTCTATCTGTTCAGGTTCCTTAGGTGGCAGCAGGGGTGAAGCAGGTAGTGGGCTCTCTGATGGGGAGTGGGGGCTCTTCTGGTTCTCCCTGGAGAATCGGTGGAGAGACTGTGGAAGTCCTGGTGGGCCCTCGATCTCCAGACCTGGGGCTGAGTCCTGGTCACAAGAATTTTGCTCTGCTCCTACCTGTCAGCGCAGACCCATATCCAAGGGGTTGAGTTAATGCAATTTGTAACCAAGAATTTATATATATGGGAACTCATCTGGGTGCTCTACCTATCTGGTTATTACCAGGTACACCTTCAGTGACCTCTGGAGCTCCTGTGCTGGGCTCCCATGGCAGCCAGCAGTGGCAGGCCAGCAGACAGAGCCTCAACATCAAGGACCTGCGCATTTCCCCACCGCTGGGCCAGCAGGTGCCTCGGGCTCCCTGGTGAGCGGGAGGGGCAGCACACATCACAGGCTCACAGGCACAATGCCTGGCATAGAGCACATTGGGCCCCCAGGCTGTCCATCCAATTGGCCAGGCCCTGTAGCCCAGGGCCACTCTCTCCTCCACACCCCCGCACAGGTTTCCCTGAAGAGCCGCAGCAGCAGCAATGGCTGCAAAGTGGCCTCTGACAGCTGTTTCACATCAAAAGTTGGCCCTTCACTTTATAGACCTTTTTTTAATTAAACCAAAAGTTTTTAACTTGGTAAGATCCACCTTAGAAGCCATAATAAAGCTCTGATTACCCATTGTTGCCTTGCCGGATCTGCTAAACCCAGTAACAATAAGCCTGGCAGATTAAACAGCAAAAATTTTTCTTTAAAGCAGTGGTCTTTTTGGTCTTAAAAGAGAAATTTCTTTTTTTTTTTTTTGAAAGATTTTTTTTTTATTTATTTGAAAGAGTTACACAGAAAAGGAGAGGCAGAGAGAGAGGTCTTCCATCCACTGGTTCACTCCCCAATGGGCCACAATGGCCAGAGCTGCACCAATCTGAAGCCAGGACCCAGGAGCCTCCTCCAGGTCTCCTACACAGGTGCAGGGGCCCAAGGACTTGGGCCACAGCAGAGAGCTGGATCTGAAGTGGAGCAGCCAGGATGCTGGCACTGCAGGCAGCAGCCCTACCCGCTATGTCACAGCACTGGCTCTGAAAAATTTCTTTAAACTTAATGTCCAGTTATATTTTACCAAATTATCACAAAAGCTATAACTGGTGGCGGCGCCACGGCTCAATAGGCTAATCCTCCACCTGCGGCGCCGGCACACCAGGTTCTAGTCCCAGTCGGGGCGCCAGGTTCTAGTCCCAGTCGGGGCGCCATGTTCTAGTCCTGGTCAGGGCGCCGGATTCTGTCCCGGTCCTTCTTCCTGTCCAGCTCTATGCTGTGGCCCTGGAGTGCAGTGGAGGATGGCCCAAGTGCTTGGGCCCTGCACCCCATGGGAGACCAGGAGAAGCACCTGGCTCCTGCCTTCAGATCAGCGCGGTGTGCCGGCCGCAGCACGCCGGCCACAGCGGCCATTGTGGGGTGAACCAACGGAAAAGGAAGACCTTTCTCTCTGTCTTTCTCTCTCACTGTCCACTCTGCCTGTCAAAAAAAAAAGCAATTTTATGCGTGAGATTGTTACTTATCAAGTATGTCTCCCTAGATTTTAAGTTGAATTTGAGCCCAGTCTTTCACCAAACAAGTGTCCCAGGCTGCACCCAGTCAACAGATACCTGGGACTGCCTCTGAAACAAAGTTGTTCAGGCAGCTGCAAGATGTGTCCCAAGAGTGACTGTGGGTGAGAGGGCTGGGATATCATGGGCGAAAAGCTCACTGGCGATTGTTAACTTGATTTAGGAGACTTTCAAGTATCATTGCCCCATGCTGACAGGCAGCTGACCTTTCTCCTCCCCACTTCCAGCAAAGGGGTAGAGTTAACATGCCACAAACCAAAGAGAGGAAAAAAGTCTAAAATGTCCCTCTTTTTTTTTTTTCATTCAGAACACAATTTTATGCTTGCAACCCTTTTTAAAGTTTTTATCATATAGTCTAGAACAGTTGGTTTTGAATGGCATTTTCCCATAATGTGCCACCCTTGGTCGGTGTCCCAGAACAAGAGACAAAGACCTCTGGAACAGGCACTGATCCGGAGTGTGATCGCTTCGCCTGCCTGACCCCTCTCCTTGTAGAGAACACAGAACTGCAGGTTAGGGCTCAATCAGACTCCATAGCCGCAGGGCCATGGAGCCACAAACACATTCACACCACATACACTCCCTCTTCCATTAGAAACCCTAGACGGGTACCTCCCTAGGAGGACCCAACAGAAGCAATTGCTATGATTGCTGTTACCAGAAGGGTGCCCCACCAGGAGGACCCAACAGATGCAATCACTATGATTGCCAGGAGGTGATCAGTATCCCCTTCCACACAAAGGCAGACCCGAATACCGAGCACCCCAGGGCGACTTACCGGGTCCTGAAGTCCAGGAGATCTGTCCACTTGTCCTATTTGGTGGGCCATGGGGAGTCGGTCTGGGGGGAGTGGGTACGGCTTGGGGAGTTAAGATCCTGGGGAATGAGTTGGGAGGCAGGCCTTCCAATCCTCCAGGGGCTTTCCCAGGCCCCAGCTGGCTGAGTCCTGCAGGTCAAGGCTCAAAGGGCTAGCCTTGTTTGAACACACAGGAGTTTCCCAACACTTGCTAATGGGCACAGCAGGAGTTTCCTGGCCAATGCACCAAAATGTTACAGAAACCTGGAGAGGGAAGGCTCCCGTTGTTTAAATAGGCACAAGAGACAGTGGAGGATCCAGCAGTTTATTATGCCAGCAGGTTCATCAGCATCATACCTTAGCTGTTATAGCGTTAGTGGGTTTAAATTGCAGCCTGCATGACTTAGGACCACACTACCAATGGGCAGTGGGCCTGGTATGTTTGTAAAAGTGACACCAGGGGCAGATTTATTAGGGCAGACTTATGGCTGGAGTTTAAAGAAGCAGAGCTTAGGACTTCTTCCCTCCCTAGACAGATAACAGTGGGCAGCTGCTTCACTCGTTAACTGGGAGCAGCCTCTTTTCAAGGTCTGCATTGGGAGAATGACATTAATTCCTTCATGGCTCCCCCAATGACCTAATTACCTTCCACTAGTTCCCCCTCAAAGGTCTCACCACCTGTCACATCATCAGACTAGGTACCAAGCCTCAAACACATGAACCCAAATCATAGGCGATATATACTTAAGGATTCCATTTTTATAAGATTTTTAAAAGACCATATTATGTAATACCATATGGATGCATGCAGATGTAGTAGCAGAATAAAAACATTAGAAAAGTATATACACCAACTTTAAGATAATGGTTACCTATGGGGAGGGACAGAGGAGGAAAAGATTGTAAGCATGAGGGTATAGGACTATATCTGTAAATTTGATCTCTTCATTTGAAAGAAATGTAACGGAGTGCTAACATTAGTTACAATTAGATAATGGATATTTCTTGTTCTTATCTATACAGTAGATATATTTTACAATTTAAAATTCTGCAGAATTGTCTCATGTTTGTTCAGGAAATGTGTTTCTCCACACACCACTTTGGTTATATTTTCTAATGTGTATTTCTTCATAAAAAAAGAGAACATGTTTCTTCACATAAAAGAATTTGAGAGGTGGACAGTGAAGGAATGATATAACAGCTCCATGACATCAGGGACCTAAACATTTCCTGTCTTTCTGCTCTGATGAATCGCACTTCATCCTCAAGGTCCCTCATGGTCCAAGATGACTGTTGAATTCCATTGCCAAGATTTGTAACTAAGGAAGGAGAAGATATTTGATCTTGTGTAGTAGCTAGCTGTGTGTCATTTAGTTTTCCTTTATTTATTTTCATTTATTTGAAAGACAGAGTTACAGAGAGAGGAGGTAGAGACCGAGAGAGAGAGAGAGAGGTCTTCCATCTTCTGGTTCTCTCCCCAGATGGCTGCAATGGTTGGGGCCGCGCCAATCAAAAGCCAGGAGCCAGGAGCTTCCTCCGGGTCTCCCACGTGGGTGCAGGGGCCCAAGGACTTGGGCCATCTTCCACTGCCTTCCCAGGCCATAGCAGAGAGCTGGTTCAGAAGTGCAGCAGCCAGAACTAGAACCGGCACACATATGGGATGCGGGCGCCGCAGGCCAGGGTCTCAAGCCGCTGTGCCACAGCGCCGGCCCCGTTAGCAGTGTGTCAGAAACAAGAATCTAAGAGTTAATAACTTCTGAGTTGTAGCATTATTTTCATTTTAACTGATATTTAGAGGTTTGAAAGCCAGTGAAGCTCTTTCATAAATTTAATACAGACCAAATATATTAAAACTCATGAGTACTCTCCTCAAACTTAGAGAGGTGTGAATTTTAGGTGACTCTGCTACTGAATAAACAAAGTCGTATTATATCTTTTTTTCAGAGTGAACAACATGCTCAAAATGTTAGGTTTTATTTTGAAGTACATAGGGAACAATTTGAAGTTCCTGGTGAGAAAATGAAGACACATGCGGAGAATTTTCCGGTAAGTGATCTGTGTTGATGTGTGATTCTAAACTTTGAGTCATTGAATCTTTTTAACAAGATTATGTTTGTTTCAGGTGTGTAAGAGTGGATTACTGGACAAAAACAGATTTTGTGATATGTACAACATGATTTTCAGCTCTCCAGTTGTTGCTCAGTCTCACTATATGGGGAAGGTTCATGCTAGAAAACTGAAGCCATTAATGGAGGGAACTGATCATGTGCCTGCATTAGGATTTCAGCCAGAAATGGGTAAGATTCCATCTACCTCTTATCTGCAATACAGTGTCTATCGTTTTTTAAAAGAAATTTATTTATTTGAAAGGCAGAGTTACAGAGAGGCAGAGGCAGAGAGAGAGAGAGAAATCTTCATCTGCTGGTTCATCCCCAAACAGCTGCAACAGCCAGAGCTGGGCCGATCCGAAGCCAGGAGCCTGGAGCTTCTTCCATCTGCTGGTTCACTCCCCAAATGGCTGCAATGGCCGGAGCTGGGCTGATCTGAAGCCAAGAGCCTGGAGTTTCATCTAGGTCTCCCACGTGGGTGCAGGGGCCCAAGGACTTGGGCCATCTTCTCCTGCTTTCCCAGGCCATAGCAGAGAGCTGGATCAGACAGAAGTGGAGCAGCTGGGACCCAAATGGGATGCCAGGACTGCAGGTGGTGGCTTTACCCACTTATGCCACAGCACCGGCCCTGTGGATCTATTTTTTTTTCTCAACTCTGCCATCCATTTTTTAATTGGGGACATTTTCACTCTGGTTGAAAAAAAATTGATTTTTCTTCTGCTCATTTAATTTATTTCTGTCCTTGTCATCTAATATGAAGATTGAAATTACTCGCTGAATGTTATTATCTCTCCTTTTCATTTTGCTAAATCCAAATAAAAGGAAGTGATTTGCTACACTGCTTTAAACAACAATAAGCAGCTAGAGCTTGGTCAGGTTCTCATTATATCATAAAAAGTTAGCACTTTCTTCTTTGCTTTGGCATCTTTTTTTGTTTTAGTACTTTTCAAACTAATTTCTCCTGTTCAGATCAGTGTCTTCACTATAGCATAGATATGGTCACAGTGTTTGCTGACTATACCTGTTGGCCAAAATAAATTTACTGAAGCTTCTTCTACCATGATAGCCCATTTCTTTCATCCTATAAATATAAAAAAGAAAGTACTACCAGCATCATCCATCAGTAATTACTGAGTACCTATGATAAACCCCAAAGATAGACAATTATAAAATGTTGCCTCTTTCCTCCTTCCAATGTTTTTGGTCCAGCAATAATACATATAACAGAGTAGAACATGCAAAACTGTACTTGCATTTTGGAAAAACTTGTATGGTATAACAAAAAATATGATTAATCCTCTGGAATAAATAAATTACCACACTATTAACAACTTCAGTACTTTATGACCAAAGCATTGCTAGCATAGAAAATCCACCAAGATTAATTTCCAACTCATCATATAAGTACCACCTGATAAAGTCAATGCCACAGGAAACATTGTGAAAATTTTTTCTTAATAAATGAAACCAGAATTCATTTTTAAGTTTAATCTAGTCTCAATAATTGTTGTATGTTTGTTTTTCTACTTGTCAGTCTAAAAAGGAATGGAATCAGTATGCCCTATAAGAGAAAGTATCACGTAGAAAGCCTTGTATTCAGTCTCCCAAATTCATTTGGAAGATTTGTTTTCAAGGAAGAGAGTAATTGAAAGAGCCATGAAATAACTGGAATTTTTGGGAACATGTAAAGTATTTTAGTCTTAGCTGAATAAATTTTATTCTGATGCAAACATCACAAATCTACACTGATTAGATGTCTTACTATATTACTCAAGAAAGACACCAACTTAGAACTTGGTATTTTACTATTACTAATTTCAAAGAATCATATTAAGATGGCTGCATTGATCACTGAAGCTCAAAACTAATGGGCATTTAATTGGGCAACACCTAATTCAGAACACTGATTCCTTCATGACAAACTCATATTCAAATTTCCATTCTTATAAAAGGAAATTATTTTTACATGACTACCTTTATTCATCAGCTCTCTGCTAAAAATCCAAAGATAATGGGGTTTTAGAGATTTATAATTTTTCAAACATTTTACAATGAACGCAGCTCTAATATGTGAACATATGTTGATCTTTTCTCATTACAACTATTTCAGCAGGTGTGCCTATTCCTACTTCTACAGAGTCAACCTTCCCGAAATTCCTTGCTGGCAAGCCTCCTCCAGGTGGGATTAAAGACAAGACTATGCCTTCCTCTACCAGCAGTGCTTTGGATTTGAATGATCCAAACAAATATTGCAAGCTCTGTCCTGCTTCCTTTAATAGTCCAATAGTGGCCCAACAACATTATGTTGGGAAAAAACACAAAAGAAATGAAGCTAGGAAGACGTTTGTAGACAAGATCAGAGAGAAACTTCTTCCAGCAAAATCAAATGCAAATGGTAAACAATAAAATTATCCCAAACTCTTTCTAGGGAGTTTATATTTTCTAAAATGTGCCAGATAATTTATATGCCATTTTATGCCTATTGAATGAGAGATCTACAGTATTCATGGGGGTCATAGAATTTTAGACAAATGGCTTTTGAGTCCATCTACTTTTATCGCTTCATTTTCTAGAAAATGAGGCCCAGAATGGTTTAAACAACATCCATTGATTAATCTATCAAATATAAATATTCGCATGGTTCCATGCTATCTTTGGTACATAAAGAAGTTTTTTAGTTTAGTATCCTACAGTTTATCATTCACTAAATATGGTTTAAAAGTCGCTTGATTGCTAAGCTAGACATTCTTGGGAATACAAATGAGAATGTACCATTTTCCCTGAAAAAGTAAGTACATAAACTATTTGGATTAATAACAGTTCATTGCAAGAGGTTACAGACATGGATTTTTGTAGTTTTGGTAACTAGAGAAATGAAACATCATGATCCAGAAAATCTTCATAGATTTCATGTATTTCAATTGATATAAGTGAGAAAGAGAGATGATGAAAAAAAAACCTCAAGCTAAGAAAGAGTGGCAAAAATTCAGGTGAAATACAGAGACTGATCTTGACTGGAGAGCCACTTGCTCTTCTAACCATATATATACTTTTTTCCATTTTCCCCCACAGGCACCTTCTCACTACTAGTGTATTTTATTCCCCTTTCATACTCTCTCTTCCACTCACTTCCTTCCCTCTACTTGCTGTTATTTTAAATTCCTTCCTTCCTAGACCTTACTGCTTCATGGGAAAACGTTCATTACTCCCTCCTTCTTGAAGCTTTATTCTTTGTTATGTATAACTATTTACCCTCTGATTCTTCTCCTGTGTTTTTCACTGTTTCTTATCTATTTTCCTTATGGGCTCTTTTTTTTTATTGTTTACTTGTAGGTAGGTATTCACATGGTCCCATTCTTGACCTTACTCTACTTGATTTAATCTGTTCCCTTGGTTTCACCTCTCACCTGTATGCGTATGACCTTTCTGTCAAGTTTTAGACTCACATATCCGAATGGCAACTACTACTTCATGTGGATACCTCATAGTTATTTTACATTGACTCAATCATTCAAAGGGAACACTTGCTGAACACTCGTTGAAATCCCCAACACAACCTTCTTCACTTTCTATATTCACTGGAGCACCAAGCCATGACTATTTTACCTCCTGTATATCACTGTTCCCTTATCCCCAACCCTGCTCTTCCCATACTAGCTTAGGTCGTTAACATCTTTCCTAGAGTTTTGCTATCCAAAATGTGGGTTGTGACTCAACACTGTTGGTTATCACCTAAGAGCTTGCTAAAAAAAAATCTCAGAGCCCCTTCAAACCTACTGAATCAGAATGTACATTTTAACAAGATACCTGGGTGATTTGTACTCAGTAAATTTGGAAAGGCATTATCCTAATGTATTGCCACAAGCTCCTGACTACTCTTCTTGCCTCTAGTTTGTCTCCCCAAATCCACCCTCAATTTAACCTCTACAATGTTTCACTTAAAACATAAATATTTCTATGTCATTTCCCCTCTTAAAAACCTTCAGTGTTTCTCCATCTTCTAAAGATAAAATCTGAACTCCATAGGACTTCTCCATCTTGTTCCTGACTGCCTTCTCCAGACTTACCCACTGTTGTTTGCTGCCATGATCTATGTGGGTCAGTCCTTACAAATCACTTATGGTTTCTAGAAACCATTACCATATTTCTCATTTCTATGTCCTTATGCATGTTGCTGTTTTGCCTGGAATATCCCCATAACCCTCTTCTCATGGATAAGTCCTACTTATTCTTGCTGCCTTGGCCTGGTAGCCTTTTCACATCCTTCAAAGCTAATCTTCCATGCTTCTTTAGCCTGCATAATGCAGGGTCTTTGAGGGAAGGGATTTATCTAACTCATCTGCATTTCCAATCCTCCTGTGATCCTGAATTCCTCTTCAGCCAATCTGGTCTCCTGTTCCCTTCTCAGCATTTTTGGTTATTGTTACTTTAATCTCTTGCTGTCTTCACTTGTTCTTCACTGCTCAGTTCACTGCCATGCGCTGGTGCACATTCCACCAGCCTTCATTTCCCCTCTCCGCTGAAACTACTTCTCTCAGGGCCGTAGTGACCTCTACATTACTAAATCCAAGGGCCACTTTTATTTAGCTCCTTGGATGTCACTGTCTCCTGTTCATCATTATAACTCCCTGTTCTTTACTTCATGGACTTTTCATAGTCTCTTCCATCTCAACCATCTTAAAGAGCAACACTCTCTGGGGTTTCGTATCATGATGTTGCTATTCCTGTGCACACTCAGGCATTGTCCTCAGGAGCTTTCATCTAGTTTAACTATTTGAACTACCCCAGTGGTCTGACATCTTCAAAATCTCTCTTACCTATTTCCACCTTCAAACTCCAGTATGCAGGTGTAACTACCTATTGGACACCCTTACATGGAAGTCCCACAGATACTTCAGACTCTGTTCAAACCTAACATTCACCACAGCTTACTCTTTCACCTGCTAAAACACTGTTTCCTTCTGGAATTCCAATCTCAGTTAATGAGATAATCACTGGAGTTATCAAACTAGGATTCTGGCAATGATTTTATAACCTTCTAGTTTCCTCCTCCTCCCTTGAGCCTCACATTCAGTCACTAAGTTTTGAAGGATTTTTTTGTTTTGTTTTTTTGACAGGCAGAGTGGACAGTGAGAGAGAGAGACAGAGAGAAAGGTCTTCTTTTGCCGTTGGTTCACCCTCCAGTGGCCGCCGCGGCCGGCGCACCACGCTGGTCCAAAGGCAGGAAATGGAAAGCTATTCCCTATGTATATTTCTTACAGAGTGATAGTGATCACTTGTGGTATTCACTAAAATACAAGTTGTTTGTCCCTGCCCCAGAAACACTGAATCATGTTCTTCAGGGCAGTGGCCTGGGAATCTATACTTTTAACTAACAGCCCAAGTGATTCTTAACAGGGAAGTTTGGGAAACATTGTAGTTTTGAGTTAATGTATTATCATTCAGATATTGATTTATGATAAATAGTAGGAGTAGTTAGATAATTTCAGTTCCTAATTTTTCTTGAGGTCTGTCATGCAGGGTATCATTTTCTTGGTGTCAAAGAATATGGGAAATCAAATTATAAAGTAACATGGTGAGCACAACATCAGATGACAGGGAAGGAGGATAATTTTGAGAGATCTTTCATTCAGATTGTGATGTAACCTGCTGAATTCTTCTAGTCTCCCAATGAAGTTTATGTTAATAGTGATCAGAGTCATATGTTCTTCAAAATCAGCAGCTTTCATTCCTTGTCAGAGTAATCTTGCTTCTGTGAATAATCTTTGCTCAGAGGAGGACAATATACTTGGTAATGATTAACCTAATAATTAATCAGCCCAGCGATAGGTATTTTTAGATTAAAATCAAGGGCTTAATGCTCCACTAGCTAAATTTAACAAATAAAAGCAAAAAGACCCCAGTTTAGAGGGAATATAGACTAGGGCTATAAATAATTATCAAGTGGAAAGATGATTATTTCACCCATATAAAGTACATTTTAAGGTAATCATAGGTCATTAAAACTATAGTAGTATAACATTATTAACCATTGATTTGGCAAAGGATTAATTTCTGTACTATCCATTATTTTTCATTGATTTATGTGATGGGTTTTTTTTATGTGATGGTTTTAATTACTATATCTTTGTAGTATGCTTTGAAGTCAGGTATTATGATGCCTATAGCCTGAATATTTTTTTGCTTAGGATCGCTTCAGCTATTCTGGGTCTTTGCGATTCCATATGAATTTTAGGAATTCTTTTCTAATTTTGTAAAGAATGTCATTACTTGATAATTTTTTAAAGATTTATTTATTTGAAAGGCAGAGCTACAGAGAGAGAGAGAGAGAGAGAGAGAGAGAGAGAGAGAAAGAGAGGTCTTCTATCCACTAGTTCACTACCCAAATGACTGCAACGGCCAGAGCTGGGCTGATCCAAAGCCAGGAGCCAGGAGCTTCTTCAGGGTCTCCCACGCAGATGCAGGGGCCCAAGCACTTGGCCATCTTCCTCTGCCTTCCCAGGCCATAGCAGAGAGCTGGATGGGAAGTGGAGCAACCAGGACTCGAACCAGTGCCCATATGGGATGCCGGCACTGCAGGCGGCAGCTTTACTCACTATCCCACAGTGCTGGCCCACTCGTGAAATTTATTAATTTGCTGCTTCTGATCAAAGAAAATGTAGAAGGATCAAAAGATTAAGAAAATAAAAATTAATCAATCTTCTGCTTCTAGTTCTACCTAAGAAACAGAATAGTGAAGTAACTGTTACATAGTTCCAATTCTATAGTTCTACACAGTAGTAATGAGTAGTTTTGCTTTAGAATTATGCTTTCAGCTTTTATCCTGAGAGTGGGGCTCACTGAACCTCTCTCTGTGGAAGTTACTTTTGATAACTAATGCACTACAGTGATTTCAGGTAAGAGAGTAAAAATTTACTTTTATTTGTCTTTAATCTTTTGGGACATTTCAGGTTTTGGTTGGGTGAAAAGAGAATTTGGACAAGCAAAAATATGTTGGCTGAAGGATTAAGAGTCAAAGGTTGATTTGGAATGCTAAATTTGAGGTGCCTGCTGCCCTTCGATGTAGCAATGGTAAGCAGGCAGATAAAAGATTCTCAGGGAAGAAATCAAGACTAGAGAAACATTGTGGCATGGTGTGAAGAAATCTGGACACTAAATTAAGACACATGGCCTCTGAGAGGCCAACTCTACTGCTACCTGACTCTATGACTTCGACCAAATCATTTTACCTCTCTGGACTCAATCTTTATTGAGAAATTTCCAGTAGATGATCTCTAATAAATTCTTGTCCAGCTGTAATATTATTTAATTTGAAGTATATCCGTACTGACCCTAACCTGAATTCTCTATTTTTTTCAGCATTTAGTATGAAAACCTATGTTTGTCATATTTGCAGTATCACTTTTACATCTTTAGCTATGTTTCGGTACCACATGCAAGGAAGTGAACATCAAGCTAAGTAAGTATTTTTGCATAAATGTTCCTAGGACACTAAAGACTAGGGCTTCTAATCCAGTACCCTTTTATGTACTTGTATTTGTTTATTTATTTATTTGAAAGGCAGAGTTACATAGAGTAGAGGCAGAGGGGGAGAGAGGTCTTCCATCTGCTGGTTCACTCCTCAAATGGCTGCAATGACCGGAGCTGGGCTGATCTGAAGCCAGGAGCCTGGAGTTTCTTCCGGGTCTCCCACGCGGGTGCAGGGGCCCAAGGACTTGGGCCATCTTCTACTGCTTTCCCAGGCCATAGCAGAGAGCTGGATCGGAAGAGCACCCGGGACCAGAACCAGTGCCCATATGACGGCACTGCAGGTGGCGGCTTTACCCGCTATGCCACAGCACCAGCTCCATCCTTTTATGTATTTTACAAACTTACTAGGCAGTCATTTCCCTGTAAGTTGAACATGGATATGGTATTCAGTATTCATAACACATTGTACACTATTGTTTCCGAGTGAATTCTCTAGTCATGAAAATGTACTGACAGAACTGGCTAATTGATACCTTTTCTAACCAAACAATGCTGGCCTTTTTGGGGAGATGCTAAACAATAATTTTTAGTCTAGTCATACAAATTCAAGGAATTTTTGGAAGGTTGGCTTTGTTACAGGTGTTCAGTTACCCAGGCATCATCCTTCCATTTTGGTATAGTGGTTACGAACAAAGGTCTTGTTGTTAGACAGACCTGGAGCAGAATACCAGATTTATCTTTCTATCAAGGCTGTAACTGTGGACAGTTCTGACACAAGATTGTTACAGTGAAATCTAATCATATTTATAAAGTGCTTGTCTTGGCACAAAGTAGGAGCTCAATAAATGTTTAGTCCATTCTATTCTGTTATCTTAAGGAGAAGAGAACTGAATGGACATGGGCAATTCAGGTTGCAGGTCAGAGGGACATTTAACTATTGTTTAATTGGTGTGTTGATTTTGAAATCAATTTATTCTAGTAGAATATGTTTACATTATTTGAGTTCAAGTACTTAGAAGCTAAATCGTCTGACTCACCAAATTAAAGTAAATTTAAACATTTTAAATTCAGATTTCCAGCATAAATATCTGTAACATTTATAGATCCATACAAGGAACTGATTAACCAAAACTTTAAAAACGACATGAAATTCACATCAGACCATTTCTCAAGGTTCTTGATATTATTGATACTTACCTATACATCCCACCATGCCTTAGTATCTTTAGTACCACAACAGCATCAAATGTGTCTGCTCCTTTATACCCATCCTTGCTTCCATCCTAGGCCTGAGAATTTTTTTCTTTTGCATAAAAATTTTTAAGATCTCTGCTGCTATTTTTTTGCATAAAAAATTCATTATCTATAGCTTTCATACTGAAGTAAGTTTTTTTAAAAAGATTTTATTTATTTCAGAGGTAGAGTTACAGACAGTGAGAGGGAAAGACAGAGAGAAAGGTCTTCTGTCCGCTGGTTCATTCCCCAAATGGCCGCTACGGCCGGTACTGCGCCGATCCGAAGCCAGGAGCCAGGTGCTTCTTCCAGGTCTCCCATGTGGGTGCAGGGGCTCAAGCACTTGGGCCATCCTTCACTGCTTTCCCGGGCCACAGCAGAGAGCTGGACTGGAAGAGGAGCAACCGGGACTAGAATCGGCGCCCATATGGGATGCTGGTGCCGCAGGCGGAGGATTAACCTACTGCACCACAGCACTGGCCCCCTGAAGTGGGTTTTTAAAATTTGTTTTGGCCCTTGCTGTTTAATTTTTTTCAGATAGTTTTTTAAAATTTAATTGAAAGGCAGACAGACAGAGAAAGAGAGAGAGAGAGAGATCTTCAATCCATTGGTTCACTCCCCAAATGCCTGCAACAGCCAGTCCCATGCCAGATTGAAGCCAGGAACCTGGAACTCAATCCAGGTCTCTGACATGGTTGGCAGGGACCCAACTTCTTGAGCTGTCGCCTGCTACCTCCCAAAGTATGCATTAGCAGAAGCTGGAATCAAGTGGAGCTGGAATAGGAACCCGCACACTCCAATATAGGATGTAGATTTCCCAAGTAGCATCTTGACTGCTGCTCCAAACACTCATCCCTATACTAATATTTTTGATGGCAAAGAAAATATTTGGAAGAAAATAATATGGTAACAAGGACTTCCTGTTGTATTCTTTTCAGAGAATCCTTTGTTAACAATCTAGTGATGAATTCAAAGCAGACACGAGACTCTTACCAAAATGACTCTGAAGATTACATCAACATGCAGAAAGCCAGAGAATTAAAGCCCACGACTTATTTCAGAAGTATGGAAGGGAGTTCTTTGGAAACCCATAGGTACAGAGAAGCGGTTGATTCCAGATTCAGCCATAGAGCGTTTGAACAAAGACTCCCATCTGAGACTTCCTGGACATACAGAGGACCATCCGATATTTCTCAAAGAATGGAAAACCAGTTACCTCATATCTTACCAGCTTATTCAGAGAAGACATATGATCCTTTCCAAGATGAACTTGAAGAATACATCAAAGTGCAGAAATCCAGAGGACTAGAGCCAAAGACTTGTTTTAGAAAGATAAGAGAGAGCTCTATGGAGACTCCTGGGTATAGAGAAATGTCTGGTTGTCAACCTAACCCAAGAATGTTTGAGCAAAGATTTTCATCTGAGACTCCCCAGACTTACCAACATCCATATACCGTTTCACCAGTGAAAAGCCAGTTACCTCACTGGTTACCAGCTCATTCAAAGAGGAAATATAAGTCTTTCCAAGATGAACTAGAAGATTATATTAAAGTGCAGAAAGCCAGAGGATTAGAGCCACAGACTTGTTTCAGAAAGCCAGGTGCTAGCTCTATGGAAACTCACAGGCACAGAGAAATGGTTTATACCAAACCCAGGCATGAAATGTTTGAGGAAAGACTCCCATTTGAGACGTTCCAGACCCATCCAGGGCTATATGGTACTTCACAAGCCGTGCAAAACAGTTTACCTCATTGCTTGCCAGTTGATGACAACAGACAGAGACTAGAATCGATGAACTACGATCAAGTCACTAGAAACTATTTCCCAGAAGAACCAGTACCCCTGAGCCTTAGTCAGCAAGAGAATAACTCTGGCCCAAACAGTGTAGAATCTGACGTCTGCGGACACTTCTCAGAAAACTCTGCCCGTGAGTATCAAGCAGATGATGAACAGAGGCGTGAGAAGAGGAGACGACACCTGGAGGAAGGCGAGGAAGGCGGGGAAAGGGCAGAGAAGGAGCAGTCAAAGCACGGAAGGACAAAGAGTTGCGAGGATACAGATTTAGCCAAAGATAAGGAGGATAGAAAGGAAGATAAAGCCAGGGTCAGGAGAGGAAAGCTTAAGCATCAGAAAAAGAGAAAAAGCCGTGATGTCTCTGCTGAGAAAGAACGCAAGCACAAGAAAGAGAAGAAGAAGTCCGCTGAAGAAAGGACCGAAGAAGAAATGCTCTGGGATGAATCAATTCTTGGGTTTTGAACTTATAGTTCAAAGAATGAATGACAGAAAGCAGTTAATATAATGGATTTAAGTAAAAGCGGAACCATCAAATGAAGAGAAGAAGTCGATGGTGTCAGTTCAGGAAAGCTTTGCTTTTCGGTGTGTGTCAACATTGAACTTTAACTGAAAGGGTGAACAACAAATTCTAAACCTGCCCTCTGAGAAAGAATGGAAGAACGCAGGAAGAACATGACAGAAATAGAAACTTGTTTAAGACAAGCCTCAAGAGTCAGTATCTTGGACTGAGTCCGTCTTTGAATTTGGAATTTTTCGTTCTGTTTCCTCAAGGATGAAGTGAAGAAAGCAGTTAATAAAATGGGTTCAGAAAAAATCACAGCATGAGATGAAGGAAAGCAGAGGTGGAAAGAGGGAGTGCCAATTCTGGAAAGCTGGTTTTTGTTTTCTGTAAAGAAGTTTCATTGAAAGGAGAAACAAAAAAGCGTAAACCTAGCCTCTGAGAAACAAGAACATAAACAAAAAAGGAACTTTCTGAAGAAAAGACAGAATTGTCTATGTTTTGCACCTACTCTTGCATCTTGAAAGGTAGTTTCATTTACTTGAGAATGGACTGAAGATATCAGTGAAGAAAATGAATTTAAACAAAACCAAGAGCATGACATGAAGGAAAGGAGAATTGAACATAGTTGAGTACCAGTTCAGGAAAACTGGCTTTTGCTTTTGTTTTTGGGAAAAGTTGAAGTTTAATTGAAAGAAGAAAAACAAACAAAAACACACACACACACCTAAGGCTAGCCCCTGAAAATCAAGAACACAAGAACATCAGAGAAAAAGAAACCTTCTGAAGAAAAGAATTGTCAGTGTTTTGAGTCTACTCTTGGATTTTAAATGTTTCAGTTTTGTTTCCTTAAGGTTGAATAAATAGGTTGAAGAATTTGGTGTCTTGAAATTCATGTTATTTGAATTTTTTTATGTGAACAGGTACTTAGTGATCTCTGGCAAAAGCCAAGTGAAGCATAAGTATTCAATGCCTTTTTGTCAAATTACTTTTCCTTTGTTTTCCAAAAAATATGTTTCCTACAAATAGTGAATTTTCCTAAATGAAGTTGTCTATACTTTGTTCATAAAATTGATATGACATTAAATTATTTACCCATGGGAGATAATTTATTTTAAGTGAAAGGATTACCAGGCGTTGCTGAATCCATTCCTTCTTTGGGTTTGTTAATATTCATGGTATTTTATTATTGTTGCCGTGTCTTTGTTTATATTCTTGGTTCTGTGCAAGGAAAATGTACAAAATAATTCACTTATTTTTTTCTTTGTTAAATCTAATTTGAAGTGTATTTTGTATTTTCTAGTTCTAAAAGTGGAAAATTAAATAGTCTATTATAAACTTAGATTATATATAGTTTTAAAAAGCTCTCAAAAGTACTGTTGCAAAAAATATCAGTCTATATTCTGGAAATGTTTATATTAAAGTGTTTTAATTTGTTCATGTGTAGTGGTCTATTTTCCATTGCTATAAGAAAACACTTGACCTTGAGAACTTAATAAATAAAAGAGGTTTACTTGGTTCACAATTTTGGAAGCTAACTGTCCAAAATCAAGTGGCCCTATCAGTTTAGCTTATGGTAATTACGGCTTAATGACAGCTAGTATCATAATGAGACAAGAAGTCAGAAGGTGAGAAGGGGCCAGTCTTTCTTTTCATAACCACCCTCTAGCAAGAACTAACCAGGGTCCCACAACTACATTAATTCCTCACAGGGGCAGTGTCCTGAGTGATTCAGTTACCTTGAATTAAGCCCCACTTTTTAAAGGTTCTACCACTTAACATTGCCACAGTGAGGACTAGGCTTCTAATACATGAACCCTTAACAGTATCAAAACCATAGAAATGCTGTGTTATATAAATAATTATTCTACATCCAAAGATAATTATTTTGGTAGTGAGTGGGGGCAGTAATTAAATGGTTTGTTTGCATTTAATATCTCTGGAAAGATCACACAGTTGAAATTGTGATAATTTCATTTTTCTACATCTTGTCTAGTAAAAGCTAGACAAAACTTTAATCTTGAGTTCAGTTTTTTAAAAAAGATTTATTTATTTGAAAATCAGAGCTACACAGAGAGAAAAGGAGAGGCAGAGAGACAGAGGTCTTCCATCTGCTGATTCACTCCCCAATTGCCTGCAATGGCTGAAGCTGTGCCGATCCAAAGCCAGGAGCCAGGAGCTTCCTCTGGGTCTCCCACGTGGGTGCACAGGCCCAAGGACTTGGGACATCTTCTGCTTTCCCAGGCCATAGCAGAGAGCTGGTTCGGAGGTGGAGCAGCCGGGACTCGAACTGGCGCCAATATGGGATGTCAGCACTGCAGGCTGTGGCTTTAACCCACTGCGCCACAGCACCAGCCCCTTGAGTTCAGTTTTAAACAATAAAAATGTGACCAAAAAATACTTAAAACTGAAAAAAGAAAAATTTTAAATGACTGATGACCATGAGGATGTTACCTTTAAATTGTTCAATTTTGATTTTTTTTTATTCTGGTGCTCCCTTTAATATGAACAGCAGCCAATGTAAATATTTGAACATCACTATGATCTAGTAGAAAGTGTGATGACCTGGGAATTGAATCTCAAGATTCTGGTCTAAGCTATACCATCAAGTTGCTGTGTGGCCTTGTGAAAATAACATGACATCACCAGGAATGGGAAAAAAAACAGGCTATGGGATGGATTCCCTTCAGCTGTTAATTCTATGAAAATAGCAAATTTAGATGGTAACTATCTGCTTCAAGCAAGGCATTTAAGTCTTTTTCTTTGAGATTTGAATGAGATGACTAATATGAGCTGACATATAATATGATTGATTGGGGTTATACCTAGTTGAATAAGTGGCCTCAGAGTTAGGGGATTCCCAGGTCAACTTTTTTTCCATGACACTGTTAGCATAAGATTATTTTATACCATGATATCATCCCCCTTTTCATAACACATGAACTGAAAAGAAGGAAAGGAAAAGTAAGAACCAGAGTAGAAAAAGATACAGGGCTCTTTCCCTGCATATCTCTGAAGAGGGATATGCCCAAGGTGAGGTCTTCAATTTGGTGCTGGGATTGAGGGTAAGGGTAGGAGAGACGAGCTAGTATCCAGTAGGAAGACTGATCTCTGATACCCCTTCTTGGGCCTTCAACTCTGTTTCTCTAACATAGATTTTTTAAAGATTTATTTTATTTGAAAGACAGAGTTACAGAGAGGCAGAGAGAGAGAGAGGTCTTCTATCCGCTGGTTCACTCCCCAGAGGGCTGCAATGGCCGGAGCTGCACTCATCCGAAAAGAGAAGCCAGGAGCTTCTTCCAGGTCTCCCACATGGGTGAGGGGCCCAAGGACTTGGGCCTTCCTCCACTGATTTCCCAGGCCATAAGCAGAGAGCTGGATGGGAAGTGGAGCAGCCAGGACTCGAACAGGCACCCATATAGGATGCCGGCACTGCAGACAGCGGCTTTACCCACTATGCCACAGCACCGGTCCCTCTATCATAGATTTTGACTTTGGACACAAGCCAAAGCCAAACCTATTTCCTGGTTGGCCTGTCTGGCACTGGACAAAAGGCCCCCAACATCAAAAACCCGAATCTCTGCAAAACTGAGGTGAGGTGTGATACTTATATAGTCCTGTGAGCAGAAAGGAAGGGCTCATCAGAGTGGTGGCAGGAGACAACAGGGAAATGGATTTGTAGGCAAGGGAGGGACCGTGGGTGCAGGTCCACTGCCTGCCAGGTCCTCTGAGAAGACCATGGTGTGTGCTTTCTCTCTCTCTCTCTCTCTCTCTCTCTCTCTCTCTCTCTCTCTTGCTTTTGCTCTTGCTCTCGTTCTCTTGCTCTCTCTCCCTCTCCCTCCCTCCCCTTCTTCTGAGCTGCTCCCCTTTCCACCTGGTCGGGTGTGTTTCTCCCGTCTGTACATCTGGCTGCCTCCAGCACACCCCCCCGTAGTTGTGTTCCGGGAAGCAGGGCTCCCTGTCCTCACCAGGGACAGAGATGCTGGAGACATGGACTCCGGTGGGTCCTCCAGCCCAGGGCCTCGTACTGACTCAGGCTTCCTGTCCTTGGACTGAGACGGGGCTGGCTTCCCTCCCCTGTCCTGAGAGGGGCCTTCCTTCCCTTGCTCCAGAGAGGTCCTCCCTGCCTGTTCCAGGCTGACAGGGGAGCTTTCGTGCCTGACACTAAAGGCTGAGGCTCCAGGTGGCTGGCAGCAGGATGTATGTTCCTCTGGTGCAGTGCTATCATCATGGTAAGTCAAAAAACAAAACAAAACGAAAACAGAAACAAAACGTGGTAGGTCAAGGGAGAGATCACACCAGGCCACCAGACTTTCTTGTCCCAAAATATCTCACCAAACTGAAATGCCCACAATTATTCACCATTTTGACTTAAAAATATTTGGAATTATCTTTGGAATGTGAATAATAAAATGCACACAAATTTCCCAGGTAGAACAACATCTATGGAAAATACAGAAAGCCAGCACTCAACTAACATATGCACAAAGACTAATTTTAAGATTGCTATTGACCACCTCTTGAGAGCATAGGGAGCTCTGGGACACATCAGGAAGTAGCAAAACAAGTACTCATTATCCTCTGAAATCCTCGATTTTTTGATCATATGAACGAGATATTTCCTTCTTTTATAATATGTAGCTTTATGGAGGCAAGCCCCATCAGAAAGAATGTGACATTCATTTTTAACCAGGTAAAAAGAGAATTTTGTTGGGGAGATGAGTTCATCTAGGGGTTGGGGGTAGTCCTAGTACTGATATGTATGTGTGGTGAAGGGTAGACACGAATCTGTGAGTATAGACATTTTTAACATCTATATTCATATGTATTGATGAGAACATGCATAAAACTGTTGTGGTAAAGACCTAGCTGAAGTCTTTTGGAGGCAATATTTTCATAGCATTGTCAGCCATACTCTAGGGTTCAATCTATACCATGAATATAAAACGTTGAATGGCTTAGTGTTCTCAAAAGGGAAAACACATGTTTGGAACACAAACGATTAACCAAGAGCGGCCCCCACTCATTTTTTGTCCAGCTGATCCACTCCGGGAAAACTTTAGGTCTGATTCTTAGAATTCTGAGCTCTGCAGGATTAGAAGTCCTGATCCCTAAAAGAGGATCACTTTCACCAGGGACAACACAAGATTACCATTAACTTATAAACTACAAATGTCACCTATGTACCTTGTCCTTCTTCTTCTTCTTCCCAAAGAAACCTTTTATTTAAGGAATACAAATTTTATAAGTACAACTTTAGGAATATAGTGATTCTTTCCACTACACCCACTCTCCCACCCCCTCTCTCTCATCCTAACTCCTCCTCCCTCTCCCATTCCCAGTCCTATTCTCCATTAAGATTCATTATCAATTAACTTTATACACAGAAGACTGACTCTAAAATAACTAAAGATTTCAACAATTTGCACACACACACACACTCACAACAAACTGTTTGAGAACAATTTTTACAGTTAACTCTCATAATACAACTCATTGAGGACAGAGGTCCTGCATGGGAAGTTAGTACACAGTGACTCCTGTTGTTAATTTTTTTTGACAGAGTTAGACAGTGAGTGAGAGAGAGAGACAGAGAGAAAGGTCTTCCTTCCGTTGGTTCACTCCCCAAATGGCTGCTATGGCCAGCGCTGTGCCAATCCACAGCCAGGAGCCAGGTGCTTCCTCCTGGTCTCCCACGCGGGTCCAGGGCCCAAGCACCTGGGCCATCCTCCACTGCCTTCCCGGGCCACAGCACAGAGCTGGACTGGAAGAGAAGCAATTGGGACAGAATCTGGCGCCGCAACTGGGACTAGAACCCGGGGTGCTGGTGCCGCAGGAGGAGGATTAGCCAAGTGAGCCGCGGCACTGGCCTCTTGTCATTAATTTAACAATTAACACTCTTATGTATGACACAAGTGATCACCCAAGGGTCTTAACATGAGCTGCCAAGGCTATGGAAGCCTTTTGAATCCACAAACTCCATCAGTAATTAGACAGGGCCATATGCAAAGTGGAAGTTCTCTCTTCCCTTCAGAGAAAAGTATATCCTTCTGTGATGGCCCCTTCTTTCCACTGGGTTCTCACTCAGCGAGATCCTTCATGTAGCACATTTTTTGCCACAGTAATTTTGCTTTCCATATCTGAATAGCTCTCATGGGCTTTTCAGCCAGATCAGAGTGCCTTAAGGGCTGAGTCTGAGGTCAGAGTGCTATTTAAAATAATTGTCATTCTATGAGTCTGCTGTGTGGACTACTTGCCATATTGGAACATTTTCTCCTTTTTAATTGTATCTATTATTATTACCATACACTTGCTCTTATGTATACGATTCCTTTAACACTTAATCCTATCCATATGATCATTTTAATACATAATATGATCACTTC